AAATGGAGTCAGGATTTTTTTATTCTTTGGCAACTGTCAACTTCGATCTCTAACGTAGATAATGACGTAAGCCGTTATCTAAATTAGATGAAGTATATATAGGATATAACCTATGTAGGGTCATACGTCGCCATGTTACCAATTCTAACGGTAACTTAAACATCCTAATTTATAATTATATATAATGTAAAACAACTATAAATTTATAATATTTAACGAGTTTTGACCCATATATTTTGGTGGCTCATAGCATGTATACCCCGTTAACACTGATGATGGAATTAACATTCCGAAAACGTTCTGTAATGTAATTGTGATAGCCCGTTTGGGTATTTTATTATATACCTTTTATAAAGGATTTGAAATAAAATTTTTTTTAGAAGGCTTGATGGTAAACGTTTCATAATTGTTCACGCTGGTTCTTCTAAAGGATTTGTTTCTGAAGCAAGTTTATTGTTTTGTTTTAAGTCTAAACATATTGATTACCATGGAGAAATGAACAACGACATTTTTACTAAGTGGATAAGGACACAAGTAATCCCCAATTTAGAAGAACCATCATTGATTGTAATGGATGAATGCTCCATATCAGTGTTCTTTTAGAAAAGCAACCTACCACTGCTTCAAAGAAAGATGATATTGTTACCTGGCTGACAACAAATAACATCCAATGTGTCCCAAAATTTACAAAACCTTAATTATTACAAGTTGCAAAAATGAATAAAAAAGAAAATGTTTATGGTATTGATGAGTTACTAAGACAGCATGATCATGAAGTGTTGAGACTACCTCCTTATCACTGCGAATTCAACGATATTGAATTAATTTGGGCAAATTAGAAGTCATTAGATTAGATTATGTGAGGTCGTTAAGGCCATGCGGCCTCATCGCACTTCGACCTATAGAATCTTTTGTGCATACGTTAATCTAGTTAAACTCTAGAATGCGAATACTTCTGATGAAGTTGAATAGCTTCCTAGGTGACTTGTTTCCTATGTCAGAGGACGCCAGACTGACCTCTCCTAGGAATTTTAGTCGATTGCAGAACAGTGCTACGCAGTTGCATAGTATATGTTCTGCCGTTTCTTTTTCATTGTGACAGAAACGACAGTTCTCACTATCTGATTTGCCCATCTTCTTGAGATATCTCAGAAGGCAGTGACCAGTGAGGAGGGTAGTGACCAGTGAGAAGGCCAGTGATCATTTTGATATCTTTCTTACTCATTTCGAGAAGGCAGGCGGTTTGTTGCAGTAGGCGACACTTTTATGAGCCTTTTTGCTTGCCTTTGTACTGGTGTGTTAGTCCAATATGATCTTTGTTGATTGAGTTCCCAGGTACGGAGTTCCTCTATGATGTGGCTTTTCGATAGTCCACAGAAGGGTTCCGGACCCTGGAATGGGGTATTAGCTCCTTCTTTTGCGAGGCTGTCAGCTTCCTCATTTCCTGCAATTCCCTTGTGACCTGGCACCCACATCACAGTTACATTGTTACGTTCCGCCAGCTTCTTAAGAGATTGTTTACAGTCCCAAACCAACTTTGACTCACATGTAAATGACTTTAGAGCCTTTAGGGTGGCTTGGCTGTCTGATAAAATAAAGACTTTTGCCCTACGGGTGTCTGGGTTGAGACATTCTTGGGCACTTATGTCTAGCATGTATTTCTGCCTGGAAGATAGTTGGGGCGTTTCCAAGAGATTTAGATAGCCTGAAATTGGGCCCAGTAACTCCCACTCCTGTCCTTTCATCTATATTAGATCCATCCGTATACCATACGAGTGAACCTTCTTCCACTTTTGGTTCAATTTCTTCATCCATTTGGTGGTTTTTGTTCCATGTCCTTAGAATCCAATGGAACTTCTAAGATTTTCAGGTGGCCAACTAGATCTCCAGGTTTCATTATTTGTGTCTGTCGCAGTTTTAAGGCGGTAGTTACTGCCTCCCTCCATATGCAAAACTGCAAGGGAGGAAGGTTCAGCATCGCCTCTAGAGCTGCAGTGGGACATGTAGACATTGCCCCTGTGATTCCCAGACAAGCTAGCCGCTGCACTTTTTGCAGCTTGGCGTTAGCTGTTGTTATATAATACATTGTTATATAATAAATATAATCCAAGTATATGCACCCACTGCAGACAAGGATGAAGACACCATAGAGGCCTTCTTAGAACAAATCGACAATGTCTTAAGGCTAACTAAAAGACAAGATATAAATATTATAATGGGCGATTTGAACGCTAAAGTGGGCCAAGGAGAAGTGGAGAATTACGTGGGGCGATATGGACTCGGGGAAAGGAATGAACGTGGCGATAGGCTTGTCGATTTCTGTGTCAATTAGGAACTCATAATTACAAATACCTTGTTCAAACTTCCTAAACTTAGACTATATACATGGAGGTCACCAGCTGACAATAACAACAAAATAGTCAGAAATCAAATTATATTACCGTCAACAGAAGATATAGAAATTCTATAATATCATCTAAAACTTATCCAGGAGTGGACATATCCTCCGATCACAACCCGGTTGTTTTGTCGATGAGAGTGAAACTAAAGAAGGTCAACAGTCCTAGCACCAAGAAAATCATAGATACAAGACGTCTCAAACAAGATAACACATATGCGGAAACGAAATTTAAAATAAACGAGAACTTAAGGAAAGTCAAAGAAGATAATGCGGAAACTCTAACTATTGACCAAAAATGGGAAAAAATTCAATTTGCCTTTGCCTGTGTCTGTTGGAAAAGAAACTCTCAAACCACTTGGAGAAAAAACAAAACCTTGGATGACAGTAGAACTTCTTGAACTTATGGAAGAACGAAGAAAACATAAAGCAAAAGACCTGAATAAATACAAAGAAAGTTCAGAGAAACATCAGAAAGAATTTAATTTACACAAAAAAATCAAAGAAATGACAGGTTCTAGAAAACGTAAAAGAACGAATATCCTTAAAAATGACAAAGGGGATATTATTGCTGATATGAAGGAGAGATTATGTCACTGGACCAATTACATCCAACAACTATTTAATGATGAAAGAGAAGAACTGTCATTAGAAATCACCGGGGATACCGGACCACCAATATTAAGAGAAGAATTTATCTATGTCATCAAAAACACAAAAGAGGGTAAAGCTACTGGACCAGATGATGTGCCCATCGAATTATTAAAACTCATCGATGAATGTTATTGATGTAATGTTTGAGCTCTTTAATCTAATATATCAGACTGCCACAATCCCCAGACAATGGCTGCAATCGACCTTTGTAGCAATTCCCAAAAAGCGAAGTGAAACAACTTGCTCAGATCACAGAACAATAGCTTTAATGAGCCACACTGAACATTTACTTTACTACATAACACTTAAAACATTTTTGAAAATAATTCACAGCAGAATTGTTAAAACTCTTGAATATGAAATTAGTGACACATAATTTGGCTTTTATTGACTTGAGCCTTCTAACTCAATAGAAGGTATATCTATCAATGGGGACGATTTGAATACCTTACGTTTTGCAGACGATACAGAAATAATGACGAATAACAACAATGATTTACAGAATGTAATGCAACGCTTTAATGAACGCTGTCATGAGTACGGACTGAAGATAAATTTAAAGAAAACTAAATGCATGATCATGACTAAATCTGCACATGCAAATATCCAATTGACTATTGAAGATACTGCAATTCAGTGTTAATAACTATAAATACTTATGAACATGGATAACATCAGATGTAGACCAAACCAAAGAAATTAAGACACGCATTGAAATAGCATGTGCATCATTCATTAAACTTTGTTGTCGGGATATAAGGTTAGAACTACGCCTGAGAATGATTCGGTGTTACGTGTTCGCAACTTTTCTTTATGGCTTGGAAGCGTGGATACTAAAACAAGTCCATCTGAATTAGTTGGCCGCCTTTGAATGTTGGTGTTACAGAAGAATCCTACGAAGATTATCGATTCTACGTGGAAGTAACTAGAAGGATAGGAAATGAGGCGGAAATAATATTGACTATCAAAAGACGAAAACTTGAGTACTTAGGATATGTGATGAGAGGGCAAAAATACGCATTATTACAACTTATTATGCAAGGCAAAATCCGAGGAAAGCGAAATGTCGGAAGACGAAGAATATCCTGGCTTAAGAACTTAAGGAAATGGTTTGAATGCGGAAGTGCAGAACTTTTTAGAACAGCAGTCAACAGAGTCCGCATAGACATGATGATTTCCAACCTTCGATAGATGGAACTTAAAGAAGAAGAAGACTGCAGATATACTCTGACTGGTTCTGGGGATGAGTAACTATGATAAAAATTTTTTATTTAAAATCCTTTATAAAAGGTATATAATTAACTATGATAAGCATCATTCTAAGATAATCTTACTTTTTTTAAAACCCTTGATGTGTTTAATCATTGTGCAGACTTTGCCAGCCAGTCATTTTTAGGGTTTTTGTAGTCCACATTTTGTAGCATACTAAGACGTTGTTTTTCTATTCATTAGGCATTTAGGCAACCGTTTTATTAAACCAAGTATTAGTGTAAACACTTCAATGTAAGAATATTGATGATGGATGATAAATCCCATGTATAAGTGTCACTTGATTTTGAAACAACTCTACTGTTAGTTTTTTAGCTGCCTGTTGTTATCATTGAAAGTGAACACATTACATATCTAATTTAATTTCATTTATCCATTGTCCGTACGGTGAAGAACTGCTATCAACGTTTAGAAGACAATTAATACAGCCACACAGAAATATTTTAAATCGTTTCAGATTAAAAAAATATGCCCTTGCAGTTAGTATAAATTATATTTCAGGTTACGTCACAACTTTTTGAATTTCTAGGAACTTTTATACAAATGTTCGTTTAGTAAAACTATTCAACAACCTGTAATAACAGATGCAATATCTGTTTTCAATTCTGAGATTAAAACGGTAATCACATACTTTGAATTCATTATGCCAATTTTATAGAAACGCAAAAAATGCTCTTACCTATTATTTCCATCATCAACAGTATCGCCATCCTCACTATCAGCAGCACTATATGTATGATCTTGACTAGGTGAATTGGTGATAACTTGTAGGAAATCTTTAGCATCAAAATTCTTGGGTTGACTATTTTTCAAACTCAACATGGCTGCCGCAGCATCTACAGCATCCAAGGAATCTTCCAACTTGATCCTAGGAGCACTGCTATGTATCACGTGATTGTGAATGATGTGATTGTTCATTTCGGTGGCAGCAAGTTTCCTAGCTAAGTACGGCAACATTTCTGGATTGGGTAGACGATGAATGGAAGGTTTGTCGTTGACCGCGGGTTTTTGTACATGAGAGGAAGTATCTAACGTTGAAATGGGATGGAAGGGGGATCTAGTGAGCGCTTGAATTAAGTTTGGTTTGTATTTAGGATCTACTGTCCAAAGAGAACCTTTGCCAAGATTCTGAAAAAAAAAACAGATAATATAAAAATAAGAATAAAACGTAAATATTATTTTTCAGTAGATTCACTAGGTATATGTGGAAGTTATTATAGAATAAAAATGATTTAAATCTAAGTTTATAATGTATACGTTAAATAAGTTAAATAAAAAAATTATTCTAAATTTGTTGTTTTAGTCTTTTAGCTTCGATGTAGGTCTTTGGCCTAGTGTATTATCTTCAGCACAGGTACAAGAACTAGTAGAAAGAGGTACTATGATTTCCAAAGTAAAACTATCTATGCTCAAGACAAAAGTAACCGAAGAGTTTTTGGATGCATATTTCACTAAAATTCTGCCAAAGGACAAAATGGTTTAGAGTGATTGGTTACTGTATTCTATCAAGAGAAATGTAGTTTTTGTTTCTGTTGTAAAATATTCAATGACACCAGCAATCTATTTACCTATAAAAATACTAAATTAGTTAATTAAAACGATTTTAATTATTGACATCACGTAAGTGAAATTTGAAAAGCCATTAAAAAAGAATAAAACTGCAGATTCCTAAATTGAAAATTTATTAAACAGTATAATTAACCACCGAAGGAATGTCATTGAAAGAATACTTTATATAATTAAATTTATATGAATAATATAATTTATATACATTTTTAGAAATAAATAATGGAAATTTAGGAGTTATGAATTTTCTTATAAAAACACATACAGGCAGATTAACAGACAACGAAAACATATCTATGTTTTGAAGCTTTTTGAAGTTATACTTCTATACGCGTGCTCGACGTTGGAAATTTGTACGGGAGTGAATCGGTGAAATCATTACATATGTAAGATATGAGTAAGAGAGAGAAGAAGATATATTCTCTCTCTCTTCCTCTCTCGATATAAAGTGTTCCTTATATATATATATATTATATATATATATATATATATTTATATATATATATATATATATATATATATATATATATATTATGTTAATAATATATATTAATATTATTATTTGTGATATGTTTTGTATTATTTATTAGATGTTCATAATTATTTTAGGCTTTTGTATTTCAAAATAATAATAAATCACTGTATGACCGAGAACTGTCAATTTTGAAATCCGTTAGTGTCATGTCTAATTGGCGAATTTTTTACGTGTTTTGTTCATACGCTGGTGTATGTGAGTTCGAATCCCAATATGAATTTCCTTTTTTATTTTTGAAATATTTAAAAACCCCACGTTAATCTTATTAAATATATGTAATATACGCAAAAATGCTAAATTTTAAAATAAAATGAAAATTTACAACATAATCCGAGTTGTTGGTTTTTTATTTTTATCTTTCACAAACATTTTTTGAAGTTATACTTCTATACGCGCGTTCGACGTTGGAAATTTTCTCTCTTTCTCTTTAGAGAATAAAAATGTTCCTTTTGTAAATATATTTAATATTTATTAATATTATTATTTTTTATTAATATTATTATCATGGTAAATTAAACATATGCGTAAGTAAGTTATGTATATTGTCAGTTTTAAATACTTATGAATATTGCATTTTAATTTGTATTGTATTATTATATTGAATTATATTGCAGTGTATTGTATTGTATTTTTATAATAACAAAATAAACAATAAATTTTACTGCAGAGTGTGTAAAATTTTTTTGCATTCAACTCCTTTTATACATATATGAAAATAAAAATATATATTTTCATTAAAATATTAATTCAATCCTTCATTTACTATACTCCTATTACAGGTCAAATGTTTATATACAGCAAACTATGCACCATATACCTATATACCTAATTTTTTCTCTTTCTGCTCTCTCTTACCTATAGCATTACATATGTAATGATTGTGCAGATTGACTCCCATATAAATTTGTAACAACGAACGCGTGTATAGAAGTATACTGTAGAAGACTACCACACCCGTTTTTTTATTACTATTTTGATCCTGAATCATACCCCACAATATTGCAGACTTACTATTGCGAATTATTATATTCTCATTCATTCCCATGGTTAGAAATTAAAAATATTTGAACGACTTAATGGTGTATTATTTATTAAAATAAGTATATATAATTAAAAAGAACAAAAAACAAATTTTTGCCTCAGAAACCGTCTGTAAAATGTGTTGTATACGAAACATTCGGACTACGGACAAAAAAAAATTAATCATATATAGTCATATACGTAAAACGTACCTGACGTTTTACACACACACACACACACACATATATATATATATATATATTATATATATATTTTATATATATATATATATATATATTATATATATTATATATGGTATTGATTTTACACTGTCTGCATCTTCGTCGTATCTTATTCTCCTGTTTAATTATCATATGGACGATTTTATCAAATCACACTGCAGTAGGTAAAGCATTTCTAGATGGTCGTTAGTAACGTTAGGACGGTAGTAACAACAGAATTATCATTCCATCTTACCAACAGTACGTCATATTCAGCATCAAATCCTTTTTCTTTTTTATTAAAAAAAGTTGTCAAAAAATATTCGATGCTTAGACGGCTGTTGGACAACAGATAAAAGATTAAGAACTACGTTTTCTCCTAACCTCAAGTCACTTAGTTTAATGGATATTTATTCAAATTCATTCCATATGAAATGAATTTGAATAAATATCCATTCGAACTGCAAAGACACCACAGTTTGAAGCCAAATCTTATTGGTTTGCCTTTCATAAACATCTTACAACTGTGTCACCCAAAATATGGTACCATTTCTTCATCAATCGACAGGTTATAAGAGAATAGCCCAAATTGCATATTTTTAGCATTTATAAGATCAAAGATTGGTGTCAGCTTCGAAAATCTTATCATTTTTTCAAGTTGCTGATTATCTGACAGATGTATATTTTGCTTGATAGAATCAAATTTATTTCTACTCATGTAGTTTCTTACAAGCGATATACCTTTGTCTTTGAGTACTAAACAATTTTTTCCTAGCCATCGTCGCCGAAGTACAAAGAAAAAAGTTCGAAAGGTGATTTTCCAGCAATTTTATTTTCGATTTTCTCATCTAATATGTTCTTCATCTTTTGGTGAAGTTTTATAAGTGAGATGTTCTTGTATCCATTGTGAAACAACTTTTTTTGTTTTGGAAGTAATTTTTACTTTTTTGGACGATGATAGTGTAGCTTCATTTTCTTCTTCTATTGGAAACTTTGCATGAACTTCGTAAGTGTATCATTCTCACATATCTCGTCTTCAACTTCTTCCTCTTAATAAGGTCGTCAACGGGTGGTGAAATATACACAGCGTCGATAATGTCTGCTTGTTGTAAATCTTCCTCCAATAACTCCAAGAGCTTGGCAGTTGACAAAGGTCTTCTACTTTTAAAGGACATTATCTAAAAAATTGTTAATGTTGAATTCATTGAACGTTGAACAATTCGATATTTTGAGTAAAACTAAGTTATCAATTATTATTGCCAATACTTACTTGACTTCTTTCTCAATCAAAAACTAGCACTTTTCTTCTTCAAGTAAGACGATATAATATAACTAATAATAATGAAATAACAGAACACAACACCACAAAGTAATCCGCTGACAATCGCAACCGCAAGACTGTTTAACTGATTCTGTATACAATACAAAACTAAAACGTTGCCAAACTGCATATCCCCGTGTAATCCCAACGTTTCGTATGCGAAACAATACGTAAAATACGTTACTAAAACGAAATTAAAAACGTTTGCAGATGTTTACGATATAATATAATAAACAACACACTCAACTAATTATATTTTTAAATGTATTATCAATTTCTATTTTTAAATTATATTTTTAGTCCCGACAAAATGTACGTAATTATTTAAGTAAATTAGACAAAATTCTAATATATGTAGAAAATAAGTTTTAAGGTTGGAACACTAAATTTTGATACTAAAGCCGAAAACATTATTTTCGGAATAACTTTAACCCTTTCACTCACGACTTTTTGTTTCACAAAAATTTTAAAATTGAAGATACAAAATAGATGATTTTTTTAAAGATTTTTAATATAATTTACAAAATTTTCTACTTTCCCAATTAAGAATTACAGTATGTATCCAAACGTATACATTGTGACTTGTAGGTAAAATTGATTAATTAAATTTTTATATGTAAAATAAAATGGTGATTTCTGTATATAGAATTGGTACTTATTATAAAAACTCATTACAAACTTAAACATAAGTGAATGTTACATTTGACACACATAATACGACTTTGTCCTCTACAACCAGGATTTTTACATCTTGATGCATATGAATTTCCGTCAACAGAAGGTAAGTGTCCTGTGTCATCACATCTGGAATTGGTCTGGTTTCAGACTTGGCCTTTTTGGGTGTCGAAGAAGTATTTTCAGAATCTTGCTCTGATAGCGGTCGTCCTCTTCTTTTATTATTGCATTTGTTAACTTTTATTAGAGCTTCTGCTATGTAAGCTCTAAAGGCCAATAAATCTAAAATTTCATTTTTTCGAATAACAAGTGCTGTGGCTTTGCTTTTATTTTCTAGCCATGCATTACAACAAGCAAGGTCTATTCCGTGTGCAAACATTCGAAGTGTCCATTTTCGTGACCGTACAAAAGTTCGATATAATGTTAACAAAAAATCTAATTTATCAACACCACCCATAGCTGAATTATATATAAGTATTTACGACTTCTGGTCTAGGGATATCAATATATTTTTTTGTATTTCATCCCATCGCCTGCAGGTGTTTGGTGTCCCTTTACCTATGTAATTAGATGCCAACACAACACTTTTATTGTCATACCATTTTGTTAAAATTACTTCACCATCTTTACTTATCAGTTCTTCAATAGCTCCTCTGCCTCTCGGTCTCATAACTTGGTTGTTGGAAAATAGTGGTTTCTGGAATCTATCAACGCGAGCTGTGCAGCATGCATAAATGTGTTTATTTCGTAAATATTGAAGAATATTGTAATTAGAAAAATAATTATCAAA